CACCTCCCTGAAGAATGACAACAGAGATGAACTTCAGGGGAGAAAAAAGAAACACATGTCACATTTTTTCTTAAACCAGGAAAGAGGAGGAGCAGAGGAGGAGAGACCAGAGCCCCTTTCCCAGGCACCGGGGCTTTCCTTGATGTCCTGAGACTCAAGATTTCTCACCTCTGCAGGTGGACCTCAGAATCTCACGCAGCAGAACCGCTACAGGGCAGCGAGAATGCCTGCAATGGCAGCAGGCAGCCAGGCCTCCCCAGCACAGTGTCTCCCGGGACAAGCGAGTGTCCACGTCGATGGACATCATGGTGTGTGTATTTGTTCTGTGCTGGGCTCCTACACTGCTCGTGATCATCCAAGCTGCCTGCCATGGGTCACACGTCCAGCACTTTCTTTATGAGACATGCTTCTGGTTCCATTGGCTGAATTCGGCTATCAGCCCTGTTCCATACCCATTCTTCCACGAGTTTCAGAAAAGCATTCCATCAAACCGCTGTGTCCTGGAAAGGCCAAGCAAGATCCACCCACCCCCATATGTACATGTGACAGAAACTACTCTTGTACTGTTAACGGTGGAGGCTGTCCAGGTTCTTGGCATCTTGAACAAAGGACTGGACAAAACCCACAAACAAAGCAAGGAAGGAATGAAGCGATTTACTGAAAACGAAAGTACACTCCACAGTGTGGGAGTGGGCCTGAGCATAGGGGCTCAAAGGCCCTATTACAGAGTTTTCGTGAGTTTCAATACCCTTTACTTGGGGTACACCTTATGTAAATGAAGTGGACAAAGTTACAGTGTCATTTACAGAGGACGGCCTATGGATGCCATAGCTGAAGTGTGAATTAGCCTTATGTTCCCGGCCTCCATACCCTATTGTCCTGCCTCAGTACCAGATCACCTAAACCCTCATAAAGGAAAATTTAAAAAATCTCAGAACCCTCAAACTCCCTATGCCAAAGGGAAAGTTAAATCTCAGGTTGAGTCGTGCACCACCGTCTTCCAAATGAACAGCTGTTACCAGCATTACACATCAGCCAGATCCCTAGGGAAAGGTCGAAGGCCTCAGGCATCTCCAGATGCTCCCACAGATCATTCTTAAGTAAATTTGTAATCGCCCAATGGGTTTACCTTGCCCGCTGTCTAGACAGAGCTGGTTTATCAAGACAGGGGAATTGCAGTGGAGAAAGAGCAATTCACACAGAGCCGGCTCTGTGGGAGACCGGAGTTTTTTTGTTTGTGTTTTGTTTTGTTTTGAGATGGAGTTTCGCTCTTGTTGCCCAGGTTGGAGTGCAGCGGCAGGATCTCAGGTCACTGCAACCTCCGCCTCTGGGTTCAAGCGATTCTCCTGCCTCGGTCTCCTGAGTAACTGGGATTACAGGCACCTGCCACCATGCCCAGCTAATTTTTTGTATTTTTAGTAGAGACAGGGTTTCGCACTATTGGCCAGGCTGGTCTTGAACTCCTGACCTCAGGCATCCACCCGCCTTGGCCTGCCAAAGTGCTGGGATTACAGGCATGAGCTACTGCACCTAGCCTGGAGTTTTATTATTACTCAAATCAGTCTCCCCGAGCATTTGGGGATCAGAGTTTTAAAGATAATTTGGGAGGTAGGGGCTTGGGAAGTGGGGAGTGCTGATTGGTCAGGTTGGAGATGGAATCACAGGGGGTTGAAGTGAAGTTTTCTTGCTGTCTTCTGTTCCTGGGTGGGATGGCAGAACTGGGTGAGCCAGATTACAGGTCTGGGTGGTGCCTGTAATCCCAGCTACTCATGAGGCTGAGACAGGACAATCATTAGAACTTGGGAGGCTGAGGCAGGACAATCATTTCAGCTAAGATTGTGCCACTGTACTCCAGCCTGGGTAACAGAGAAGACTCCCTCTTAAAAAAAAGAAAAAGAAGAATCATTACTGACATTTGTTTGAATTTGGAGGAAAGGAAAGAAAACAATATAAGACAAAACACTGTGGCAGGAAGATACTAAATTATAAACAAGGCCTAAGTCCATTGCAAGGTAGGGGTTAAGCCACACCTTACAAACCATGAAATCCTCATTTAAATGGGTTTTTAACTCGGAATAATGTGGCTTACCTTCCAACCTGACTCTCACAAGGCATCGCATGACTGACAGCAGACCACCTCCCACCTTATCAGAACTTAAGCATTCCTTTCTACTGACTTCAAGTCTTTAGACGAAGCTTAACTCTTTCAACCAACTACCAACTAAAGCATCCCTAAAACCCACCTATGACTTGTAATCCGCAGCTATGAAATGTCCCGCCTTTTCAGACCAAACTAATGTATATCTTCCGTGTATTGATATGATTTTATCAGCAATTCCTGCCTCCTAAAACATATAAAACCAAACTGTGGGCCAGGCATGGTGGCTTATGCCTATAATACCAGCACTTTGGGAGGCCAAGGTGGGCGGATCGCTTGAGCCCAGGAGTTCAAGATCAGCCTGGGCAACATGGTGAAACTGCATCTCTACAAAAATACAAAAGCTAGCCGGTCATGGTGGTGCACACCTACAGTCCCAGCTACTTGAGAAGCTAAGATTGGAGGATCACCTGAGCCTGGGAAGTGGAGGCTGCGGTGAGCAGTGGTCGCGTCACTGCACTCCTGCCTCAGCCTCCCAAGTAGCTGGGATTACAGGCATATGCCACCATGCTTGCTAATTTTTGTATTTTTAGTAGAGACAGGGTTTCACCATGTTGGCCAGCCTGGTCTTGATCTCCTGGCCTCAAGTGATCCACTTGCCTCGGCCTCCCAAAGTGCTGGGATTACAGGCGTGAGCCACTGTGCCCGGCCAATGATCTGTCTTTTAACCTTCATACTGGTCAGTTGTGCCTAAACTCCAAAAGCAAGGCGGTGCAATGGGGCGAGTCCAACCTCCCTTCTCATCATGGCCGAGAACTTGGTTTTTCAGGTTTCACTGGGGTCTCCTTGGCCAAAAGGTAGTCCATTCAGTCAGCTGGGGGGCTTAGCGTTTTATTTTTAATTTACAGTACTAGTATATGAAAGTATTCCATCACCTTTGTGTATATAAAGACAAGGCTTGAAAAAACAATGATAGAACCTGATTTCTAAAAATGTATCAGGCAGATTTTACATTTTACTGTTTTTCTTACCCTCCCTCTTTTACTTTTTTCTTTCTCCCTTCCTGTCAGTGTGCATAGATTTTACATTTTACATTTGCAAAACCATACCAGAAGATATGGTATCCAATGCAACGTCTCTGGGTAGGTGGAGGAATGGCTGATCTCCTCGTCTTTACTCTGCACATGGGAAGATAAGCTTGTAATGAATATTATCAATCAGTGTGCAATTCAACGGACTTTAGTTTTGGGAGCTAGACTTGGATTGCAGACCTGAAGTTACAATTGGCTCGTCCTTGTTTATGGGAGGTCAGCAAAGCATTTGAAATCACCTTTGCAAAAATTGTAACTGAGGAAATTATGACAGTGAAAGAGATCAGACCCAATCTTGCTTCTAACCTTTAAACTGTCCTTGTTCATTCCTGGGCATAGGTCGAACTAACCTTGGGAAGTAATTTATAGTTTGACTCTGAAACACAATTGATAATAGCCCTTTCCCAACAGTTATGAAGCGTCCAAAGGTTTCCTTCTGTTTCTATTTCGCTAAGTGAAAATGGATTTAAGTCACAGCCTGAGATTTCACTTATTTGAAAACACTACTGACGCAAGGCTGAACACAGCAATGTGTGTGTTCTGGCTGGGTGAGGTGGCTCATGCCTGTAATTCCAGCACTTTGGGAGGCTGAGCCGGGTGGATCATAAGGTCAGAAGTTCGAGACCAGCCTGGCCAACATGGTGAAATCCTCGTCTCTACTAAAAATACAAAAATCAGCCAGGCATGGTGGTGCATGCCTGTAATCCCAGCTACTCGGGAGGCTGAGGCAGGAGGATCACTTGAACCGGGGAGGTGGAGGTTGCAGTGAGCCAAGATCACGCCACTGCACTCCTGCTTGGGTGAGTGCAAGACTCCGTCTCAAAAAAATAAAATATACAGTCCATCTCCAAAGATTTTGGAAGCATGGACCATTTTGTTGGGACAATGCAGGGTGCCCTACGGCAGTACAGCCAATACAAGACCATCCCAAATGAATTGTTTTGCATTACCACAAGCCAGGAAACATTTGTCTTTAATCAAACCTAAGGCAAGTCACTACTCTTGGGAATTCAAGTGTGTGGCAAATGTGTAGATACTGGCACCTGAATCAGTGTCTGTCGTCCATACCCACAGCATCTCCATAGGACCAACCCCAGCAAACAGGAAGGTCTCCCGCACAGATTTCTCTACCTTTCATTTACAATATGCAGTCTGGATTCCCATTGTCAAACAATTCTGTTGGGAAATCCTTTCTGCTTCAGCTTATTACCTTGAGGTCTCTGAATGAGAGAGCAAATTTAACAGGTCTCTCTGGAACCTAGACTTTGTGTTTAAATCCCCTCAGTGCCTGTGGTGGTGCATTTATTCCTTAAAGTCTGTCACATTTTTCAATGGCTCTGAGAGTTGCACATGAACTGTACACTACAAGTCATCATCATTCTCCTAGGTGCTCTGATGCCTGATCAACTCAAACGCCTCTCTCTTTGAGCTGTGTGTATCAGCAAGGGCTATTAATGGACAGGGTGTTTTTGCAGTTCATTAACCTGATGACCACCAATCTCAGGCTTGAGGATGAGTCAGGCACATGGATTTCTAGGCAAAGAAGGAATCATCCAGACTCTAAGAATCACTAGTTTCCTGCATGGAGACAGGAACGGGAGAGTAGGAAAGTCTAACACAGCAGGCATCTCTCATCCAATCACAGCATCGTCTTAGCTGTGTTCTCCTGAGCTATCCCTAGCCCTGGCTCAGCATTTCCATCCACCTGTGAAGGATTCCCCACCACACCCCATTTAAGGACAGGTACTTTTTTGTAAGATACAATAAAAATTACTAAAAAAGGAGAACAGGGAATAGCAGACACACAAAACACAAAGCCAAATGTTCATTACATCCGATAGACATAAAATTACTCTGTCAAATTGCTATAAAAGGTTTTAAATGCCAAGTCAATTTTAAAATACCTATTTCACTACAGACAGCCAAGAGTATAACTTGCTTCAGTCCATGGGTCTATCTGAGTAGCCTGGAACTGCAGGCCAAAGCACTGGCCTCAGAAGGCTAAATAGGCTATTGGACTTGACGTTCCATGAGAATTCACACAACCCTCTGCAGAACTTGCCCATCTCCAATCCCTCAAAGCTCTTCTTCACTGCTCTCCTGGGCACACCCATACCATCTTCTGTAACTACGGGTCTGTCTTCACAGCAGACTAACATTCTTGAAGCTAGGGACTATGATCTTCTTCACCTTTAGATTCAGTGCCTAACTATATCTGGTACTGAGTTTTTGTTCAACAACAAAAAAATCTGTAAGTTAAGGATACCAGCAGCGCTTTGCTTTCACTTTTATTTACATTTTGTTGGTTTATTATTTTTAAAATTGGGTTTATCTCAACCCAGAAAATGAGATAATTTACACACTGTACTGACATTATTTCACCTGCAAACCAACCTCTCCAATTCAGTTCAAATTCAAGTATTCTCATGTCTTTTCTACTATTCCAGTTGTATTTCACAAAACATGTAAATCATATGGCTATGTCAAGCCATAATCAGGTTTATACAGGGTAAACTAACACCTGCAAAGAACAGAAAGGGTTTGCTGGACTATGACATACCACAGAATGGCTTAAGATTTGATACATTTTAGTGGTACTAATTCTTGGGAAACATCTGTTCATGTAAACCCCAGCAAGGGCTAGTCATCAAGTGCTAGCAATGGGAGGGCAAATGGTGAGGGGTTAAGTGATGTAGTCATTTGAAAATGTCTATAAATTCTCCCTTCAAGAGGTGGAGCTTAATTCCCTTTACCCTTGAATATAGGCTAGACTTAGTGACTCCCCACTAACAGAATAAGGCAAAACTGAGAGTGTCACTTCCACAGGGAGGCCATTGAAAGGCACTGTGGTTTCCTTCTTGCTTTCGTACTCAGCCACCATGCTGCGAGGACACTCTATGGAAGGGCCCTCAAGGAGAAGAACTGGGGCCCCTGCCCTCAAGGAGAGGAACTGGGGCCTCTGCCTAACAGCCAGGTCAGTAAGCAGAGAAGTCAGCCCCAAAGTGTCAGATGACTGCAGCCCCAACCAGTATCTTGCTTGCAACCTTATACTCTTTGCCTTATACTCTTCGCCAGGACCACCAGCTAAGCTGCTCCCAAATTCCTGATCCAGAGACCTGTGAGATAAATATTTGCTGTTTTAAGACATTAAGTTTTGGGATGGTTTATTATATAGTAGGTAACTAGTATTGCTGGTGAGCCTTTGGGGGGTTTATGTGAATTCATCATGCCTTGGGAAAAGCAGGGTAAAGTTGAGGAAAGAAAAGGGGTATAAATGACTAAAAGAGTAGATGCTGCCTTGTTCAACAAGTGCTTAAAACCAGAGTTAAGTGAGCTCTGTGAATATATGAGAATGACTATTAAACTCTATAGCCACTCTATTAGTTCTTTTTATCAATTAAAGATAGTATGAAAAGAGAAAAAAAGCTCCAAAATTGTTAATAGCAACTTTATTGTTTCACTGGTGCAAAAAAAAAAAAAAAAAAAAAATCATAATTGTGATGCATTTCCTGCTAAATTTACAATGAACGTGATACATAAATTATATAGATCACAAATTTTCTTTTATACTATTTAAAACCGAATTATATTGATAAATATGTCCAGAGGACAACATAGGTTCTTAATGGATGGCTGAGTCCAAATATGCAAAATATAACTTCTCGTTTTGACCATGGTGTTTTAAAATTCTCAAACATGCATTAATATATTCTAGTTTTAGGGAAAATCTTACACATGGCCTTATCTTGCAATTTAGGGAAAAGCCCAAGCTGAATTTCACATACAGTATTCCTTTCTTCTAAATTAATCTCAAATTGGACTAAAGAACAAAAGAGACAGACACTTTTGGGTTAGTACTCCCCAATAATGAAGAAAATACACAATCAACAATGAAACAAACAAAAAAAAAGGGAGGAGAGCTTCATTAGTAGCCAAGATAAGTGCTTGTGGGTTTTTTTTTTTTTTTTTTACAGATCACAGGAATTTTAAATAGCAGATCAGTCATGCTACTTGGGGTGATCAGACAGACTTGAACACTTACCAAGTGAATAATTTTATTAAGGTCCTGAAGGTGAGTGTCCGGAGGTGCTGGGTAAAACACATCACAGGTAAGAAACGGGAAACCTACCTCAGCATTTCTGAAAGGCACAATCTATGGAAGGAAAACCTAGCATAATAAAACCCTCACTGCATGTACATGGAAAGGAGTATGGTGAGCTGTTTCCTTTTTAAAGGATGAGACCTTCATAAATTGGCCCCTCGGATTCTGGTGATTCCCGCCGCAAGCGCAAATGCTCCAGTGTGTTATGAAAATGTTTGTTAATCTGCTCTGTTTCTTCACTGGATTCAAGATTCGGGAGGTCTTCTCGAATCTTTTGGATAAGCTGGTTTAAAACCTGAATTGTTACCTACAAAAGAATATGTACAAATTCATGATCAAGCACATACCACAAAAAATGAAAGACAATTTATTTTTATTTATTTTTTTGAGATGGAATCTCACTCTGTCGCCCAGGCTGGAGTGCAGTGGCGAGATCTCGGCTCACTGCAACCTCTGCCTCCCGGGTTCAAGCGATTCTCCTGCCTCAGCCTCCCCAGTAGCTGGGATTACAGGCGTGTACCACCAGGCCCAGCTAAACACAATTTAATAAAATTGCATGAGGGCGCTTCCTGCTACTCATCGATGATTACCGCTATAATATGAAAAAGAAGAGAATGGGGATACGATTCCTGTTTGAACATCTACTGATATCAAACAAAACCCCAACAACCCTTTAAAACAAGCAAAATTGGCCACGTGCTTGTGGCTCATCCCTATACTCCCAGCACGTTGGAGGCTGCGGCGCGTCAGATCACTTGAGTCAGAGTTTTAGACAGCCAGCCAGGTCACATGGGATGAAACCCTCCTACTAAAAACAACAAATTACGGGTGTGGTGCTGGGCACCTTTGGATACAGCTACTCAGGAGACGGAGGCAATGAGAATTGCTTGACCCAGGAGGGCAAGGTTGGCACAGGCTGAGATGTGCCACCACTGCACTCCCAGCCTGGGTGACAGAACGAGACTGTGACAAAAAAAGAAAAAAGGAAATTTTATTAACTTACAAATCTTGACAAAACGTATTGCTAAAAGGATAACTGCATTTTAGGAATTACTTTTGTTTTTTTTTTGAGACAGATCTTGCCTCTGTTACCCAGGGCTGAAGTGCAGTGGCATGACTCCGCCACTGCAAGCTCTACTCCTGGTTCATAACATCTCCTGCCTCAGCTCCCGAGTACTGGACCACAGGCACCTGCCACACGCCCAGCTAATTTTTGTATTTTAGTAGAGACAGGCGTTTGCCCATATTAGCCAGCGATTGGGTCCTCATCTCCGACCTCGTGATTTGCCCACCCTCAGCCTCCCAGAGTGCTGGGCATTTACAAGGCGTCAGCCTACTGACGCCCCAGCCTTTTTTTTTTCTTTTTTTTTGAGACAGAAGTTGCTCTTGTTGCCCAGGCTGGAGTGCAATGGCACAATCGTGGCTCACTGCAGCCTCCACCTTCTGGGTTCAAGCGATTCTCCTGCCTTAGCCTCCCGAATAGCTGGGATTACAGGCGCCTGCTACCATGCCCAGCTAATTTTTGTATTTTTAGTAGAGATGGGGTTTCACCATGTTGGCCACACTGGTTTCGAACTCCTGACCTCAGGTGATCTGCCCGCCTTGGTCTCCCAAAGTGCTGGGATTACAGGCGTGAGCCACTGTGCCCGGCCTAGGAATTGTCTTAAACTAGAACATTATGACAAATTAGGCTATTACTTGACATCTGTAAATTATTTTATATTTTTCAAACGAACAGTGATTAAAGTATCAGAATGATAAACTTTTGTACATATCAAATTTCCTGAGTAGGAAAGGAAAATGTTAGTTTATTAACAACACTTTACTAATTGACTTACCGCATCATTTTCCTTTTCATAAAAATAGATATATCTGTTCAGAATTTCTATAAAAAGCTGCACTTGTAGAGAGGGGTCCATGCACTGATTTGCTATTTTTAGAGCTTTCTTTAGGCACTCCATTACCCTCTTGCCTCCGTGAAGCTAAAATAAAAGGGCAGGGGGACAGTGAAGAGATTAACGAAACGTCCCATTTTCATACAAAGAAACACAACACTACCGTGCTCTTTCATGTTCTAAAGGGACACAACAAATTTAAATCCTTTTCATTCTCCTTCTTCTTTTGAAGTATACAGCTGTATTTTTTTAAAAACAGGTAGTGGTTTGAACTTGCTATGTTACAATATCCTCAAAGCAGAGGCTTCACTACAGGATGAGACTCTTTTTTAACAAAACAAAGCAATTCTCTTCATCAGATTTCCAAGCACCCCAAATGTTTCACCTCCAGAACACAAGGCCATGGCAACCGATCCCTGTTATCGATCCTGTCTGCTATCATGCAGTCAGGAATGACCTTACCTCCTCCCCATTTTTGTCCGTGTTTCTGCCAGACCAGAAGAGATGTGCACAGGTGCTCACAGCTCGGCCCTGATCGGGTTTCTTCAGAAGTTTGGATGCAGCAAGGGCACACTGAGTCCTCAGAGGTTCGTGATTCTCTTCACTGAAGCACTTCATCCTTTCAAAAGTGCCAATGATCAAGGTGATGGCAGCTAACTGTGCTTTGGAATCGCTGATTTCATCTTCATACAGAGAAAAGGCCTAGTGAACACAAAGCAGAAAGGACTTTCAAGAACCAACCATCCTCTAGTTGAGCATTTTCCAAAGTACTTCTCACCGAACCTCCATCCTGTGAGACTTCTGCAGCCTTCAAATCAGAAAATGCTGCACCCTCTCGAGAGCCACAGGACACAGCTGAGATGGTAAAAATGCTAAAAAGTTGCAATAAAGAAACTTCTTTCAACTTTGTTTAACCCGGGTTCCCAAACTGAATTTTGGGAATGGAATGCATTTCCCAAATTTCATGTTCCATGGAACACTTTTACCATGACCCACTTGGAAATCTTAGATTTCATCAGCAAATGATCAATACCAGTCAATTATGACAATAATATTAAGAGGTTCCATGATGGTGGGAAGGTGGTAGTTACATATTCAGTAAAAGAAGAGTAAATTCATGTCATTACCACCATGCCTGCAAACAAGCAACTGAACTCAGTAGAGCTGACGTGACAACACAGAAAGAACAGATCATCACCTGGGACATGAATTCATATGCGACTGTTTCATGATTTTCAAAACCAATTTCCCCAGCAGCTAGTGCTCCTTGAAGAAAAAGTCTTAAGGGCAATTCTGCCAGCTCTGCTTTGATCAAAGCACTGATAGTCTGGTGGGCAAATGAAAAAATCTTCTGGCATTTCTTTTCCCATTTGTCATCCTAAAACAAGAAAAAACATTTTAAGTTACCTTAAGTTCAAAATTAACTTGTTCCATGATTCCATTTTATTTAAAAGTTTTAATAGAACAAAATAGTGAACACGGTAAGTTGAGCGCAGTTTTCCTGTCATTTTCCTTCTCTGTTTCAGTTATAGGGCACACAAGTAAATCAAGCAGGATGTCTTCTCAAAACATCATTTGAAGTTAAACTGCCTTTGCAATGTTAACGTATTTGATATTTGTTTTTTCTTTTTGAGACAGTTTTGCTCTTGTTGCCCAGGCTAGAGTGCAGTGGCGCAATCTTAGCTCACTACAACCTCCGTCTCCTGGGTTCAAGTGATTCTCCTGCCTCAGCCTCCAGAGTAGCTGGGATTACAGTGCCTGCCACCACGCCCAGCTAATTTTATATTTTTAGTAGAGGCAGGGTTTCAACAAGTTGGCCAGGCTGGTAACTCCTGACCTCAAGTGATCCGCCCACCTCAGCCTCCCAAAGTGCTAGGATCACATGCATGAGTCACCGCACCCAATCTGTTTTTTCTTTCCTTTTTTTTTTTAAAGCTCTGTTACCCAGGCTGGAGTGCAGTGGTGTGGTCACAGCTCATTGCAGCCTTGAACTCCTGGGTTCAAGTGATGCTCCCACCTCAGACTCCCGAATAGCTAGGACTACAGGCTCACATCATCACACCTGGCTAATTTTTACTTTTTTTGTAGACACAGAGTCTCATTCTGTTGCCCAGGCTGATCTTGAACTACTGGCCCCGAGCAAACCTCCCGCCTCAGCCTCCCAAAGTGTTGGAATTACAAGCATGAGCCATTATAACTGGCTGATATTTGTTTTTTCTGATTCGTAAGTAACATTCCAAAATTGGAGAAAATTAGAAAAATACACAAAATCATCCACACATCATCCCTAAATCTACCATCCAGGGATGATCACTGGTAACATTCTGATGCTAAATGTCTTCCTTTCTTTCTACGTAAATGTAACTGGAATTTTTGTGTGTGGTTTTCTTTTTTTCTCTTTGGCACGATCTCGGCTCACTGCCACCGCTGCCTCTGGGTTCAAGCCATTATTCTGCCTCAGCCTTCTGAGTAGCTGGGATTACAAGCGTGCCACCACGCCCCCGCTAATTTTTATATTTTTAGTAGAGAAGGGGTTTCACCTTATTGGCCAGGCTAGTCTTGAACTGCTGACCTCAAGTGATCCACCCAACTCGGCCTCCCAAAGTGCTAGGATTACTGGCCTGAACCACCACATCTAGCCCTTATTTTCTTACTTGAGAGTTAAACAAAATCGATTCAAGTAATTTGTATCTAATTTTTCTTTTTTTTTTTTTTTGAGACGACGTTTCACTCTTGCTTCCCAGGCTGGAGTGCGATGGCATGATCTCGGCTCACCACAACCTCCGCCTCCCAGGTTCAAGTGATTCTCCTGCCTCAGCCTCCCCAGTAGCTGGGATTACAGGCGTGTACCACCAGGCCCAGCTAAACACAATTTAATAAAATTGCTTTGAGGAGCTTCTGCTACTCTCATGAATTACCTAAGTAATTATGAAAAAAGAAAGATGGGGATACGATTCCTAGTTTGAACATCTACTGACTATCAAAAAAAACCCAAACAACCCTTTAAAACAAGCAAAATTGGCCCCAGTGCTGTGGCTCATCCCTATACTCCCAGCACTTTGGGAGGCTGCGGCGGGCAGATCACTTGAAGTCAGGAGTTTTAAGACCAGCCAGGTCAACATGGTGAAACCCCATCTCTACTAAAAATACAAAAATTAGCTGGGTGTGGTGCTGGGCACCTTTAATACCAGCTACTCAGGAGACGGAGGCATGAGAATTGCTTGAACCCAGGAGGCAGAGGTTGCACAGAGCTGAGATTGCACCACTGCACTCCAGCCTGGGTGACAGAACGAGACTGTGAAAAAAAGAAAAAAAGGAAAATTTTATTTAACTTACAAATCTTGACCAAAACTGTATTGCTAAAAGGATACTGCATTTAGGAATTATCTTCTTTTGTTTTTTTTTTGAGACAGATCTTGCCTCTGTTACCCAGGGCTGAAGTGCAGTGGCATGACTCCGCCACTGCAAGCTCTACTCCTGGTTCATAACATCTCCTGCCTCAGCTCCCGAGTACTGACCACAGGCCACCTGCCACAGCCCCGCTAATTTTTGTATTTTTAGTAGAGACAGGCTTTCCCATATTAGCCAGGATTGGGTCCTCTCCCGACCTCTGATTTTGCCCACCCTCCAGCCCCAGAGTGCCGGGCATTTACAGGCGTCAGCCACCTGCGCCCAGCCTTTTTTTTTTCTTTTTTTGAGACAGAAGTTGCTCCTGTTGCCCAGGCTGAGTGCAATGGCACAATTCGTGCACACTGCAGCTCCACCTTCTGGTTCAAGCCGATCTCCTGCCTTAGCCTTCACCGAATAGCTGGATACAGGCGCCGTCTACCCATCCCCAGCTACTGTTTCGTATTTTAGTAAGATGGGCTTTCACCATGTGCCACACGTTTTCGAATCCTGAACCCTCAGTGATCTTGCCCGCCCTTGTCCTCAAAGTGCTGATACAGCGTGAGCACTGGTGCCCGGCCCCTAGGATTGTCTAACCTAAACATTATGACAAATAGGCTTTACTTGACAT